GGGCGGCGCCGCCGAGCTGTGCGACGCCGCGCTGGCCGCGCTGGACGCATTCGTCAGCACGCGCGTGAGGGGCGCGCGCGCGAAGGCGTGCGAGCTGTTTGCCAGGCTGTGCGAGTCTAGGGAGTGGAGCTCGCTCGCCGTGTTCTCCGCGAGCTCCGTCGCAGAGGAGGCGCTCAGGGGCGCCGGCGGGGAGAAGAGGAGGTTCACCGTGATCGATTGCGCGCCCGAGTTTGAAGGCAGGGCGCTGGCGAGAAGGCTCGCGCGGTTTACAGAGTCGAGTGTGAGGTATGGCGTGCTCGGGAATTGTCAACGGTTGCTGGATGGGGCGCATGTGGTCGTGATCGGGGCGGAGGAGGTTACGATGAATGGGTGTGTGTTGGCGGCGCCGGGCGCAAGTGTGATTGCGCAGGTGGCGAAGGAGATTGGGATCCCGGTGATTGTGACGACACAAGCGGTGAAGTTTTCGGAAGGCATGGTGGTGGATTGGACTTTTGGGGGGTTCGACGTGCTGAAGGCCGATGAGGTGCTGTTGGTGGTCACCGAGATGGAGATGAGCGAGGTGAACATGGGGATCGCGCCGTGGATGGCGCCAGATGTGTGGCAGGCTGTTAGCAAGTTAACTGTGTGAAGGGACTCTGGGGATGGTGAGATTATGTTTGTTTGTGACTGCTGGCTAGGGCAGTCTGGCAGATTGACTTGAATGGACAGAATAAGTGTAGGTGGATGTCCAGTGTTACGACCGGAAACTGGTTTTTGTAGTTTGATACATGTGACAACGTAGGCGTACCGTAGTTTGTTGCAAGGTTTTGTCATCTTTATTTCCAGGTGAAGTTGGCTCTAACGTTGGCTCTAACGTTGGCTCTCTAACGTTAGCTCGCCTGGGGGGAGGAGGTTAAACAGTGGGGCAGGCTACTCAAACGCGCCTCCAAAAACTGTACCATTCAGTAGGCGCGGTCGTCCCTCGAGCGCGCGCCTGTCACGCGGTCTCCCTTGCGTCTGCGTGCAGACGACATGTAGGGGTTGTCGCCTCGATTCGAGTGCAGACACGCGCCGAGTGCAGATATGAGCACCGAGGCTTGCCGAGGGCCTCATATCGCACGACGCACAGCGTGTCTGCACGATGGGATCGAGGCGACAATATGCTTGTCTATCGGCTGCTACAGCGACTGTCAGCCATTGTAATTACAGTACAATTGTTGGCTTGGTTATTGTCTGCACTATGGTGCAGACATTTTCGGCAGTAGTGCGGACATCTGCAATTTTTGCACTGCACTGAACCCCCGCCAAGCCCTTTTCAGTAACATTACGGTTTTCCCCAAAACCTGTGAATGTCACCGCTGTCACGGCGCGTATGTCCCCGTCAGCCGGTAGACAATCCAATTTGCCTCGTATGAGGCCACCTTTTTTTGCAAAATATGTATATATTAAGGTTGTCCGTAAAGTCACGAAAACGCGTGTTTTGGCGGCGAGTTTGCTCGGATTTTCTAAACGCAGAATTTTCAGACAACGCGTTTGGCAAAACTAACAGCATACCGAAAACTGGGGGCATGTGAGTTTTTCACGAGTTTCGCATCCGCCTGATCACAGCAGTGCCGGATCGACCCGAATTGAAGGAAAGCGAATTGGATTCTCCACTCTTTCATGAGCATAAACGAGTCTCAGACTGCACGGGTCGTATCGATATGCGTCATGGACGCCCCTGTCGCTTCATCTGCGCAGAGTCCATCAAGGGATCAAAGCGCGGCAGGATCTGCCACAGAGGACTGTAGGCCAGAATGTTATTGGAGATGTAATTTACGATGTCTTCTCCAGGTACATTTAATCCCATTCGTGCTAATAGTTCAATAGTTTTGTGTAGACTGAACCGTGCAGTTTTATAGAAAAGAAGAATGGAGTGAAGGAGATACAGGTTTCTTAGCTTGATATTGTTTTGTTGAGCGTTGAGGGCGTTCTTCTTGTTATAAGATTACCAAGTTTCTGTGCTTGGATTATAATCCAAGCACAGAAACTTGGTAATATTTCGTTGACAAAGAGAACCAGTAACCCACAACAAGTCGCTGGACACTTTTTGGTCACCAAATTTCGATCCAATTTCTCCACCGTAGCAGCGCAAAAACGCGAAATCGTTCCGACAGGGTTGCATTTAGAAAGTCTGATTCGCACATCCCAGTAGGCTTTGGAGTGAGATCATTGACGAACTCTTTCCAAGGTCATTGCTTCGCGCGGAGTCACGGGCTATTTGAATGCTATTCATATTATTTAATATGCCGCCTCCACGCCCTCGTCTCGCTCCTCTTCTACGAAGTCTACCCCTACGCCTAATCCCTCTTCCCCTACCAGCAGTTGGACCCATTTGTCTCTGACTGTCTATACCAACGCTTGGGGAGCCTCCTCTCGGCCGGTGTTCTCTCCCTTTATTCACAGCTACGACTTGAGCTGCATATCCACTGACTTCGGCCATGCCGGGTGAAGTAGATTCGATGTCGAATTAAAGGCCCGAACATGTACACGATCGAGCCTATAAATCGATGCTAACGTCAACTCGCCGGCCCTTGAACTTAGGACTGGCACTTCACAGATCGTTCTACGGCTTACAGTTGACGGAAGCAGCCAAGAAAAGCGAGCAGAAAGCCAACATCAGCTTCCTCTAGCCCCGTTTTCAGGGCGTTGTATACGATTTTGCGTACATAACGATAAGGGACATGTTTTCGGAAATCTCCTACTGTACCATACGAATTTTCGTACTTAAGAATGGTAGGGATATGAGGCCACCCTCTTTTGCAAAAATATATATCAAATCGAAACTTTGTAAAGTCAGTTTGGACGCCATTTCTTTAACGTTCATGCCCGTGGCAATAAAATCTTGCCAAAGCTTAGGATGACAGTTGTGAATATACAGAAAGACTAAGAATGTAATGAAGTTTCAATAGCCAGTTGACATTTTAAGCAGGCGTTTTGGTTTCGAAGATATCAACACATAACAGATAATGGTTTGAGATTTGCCAAAAAAAGCTTTTTTTGGGCATTCTAAAAATGGCTGGAAAACATAATATGTTACTTGTGCGTGGGATTACCCTTGGTAGGGTAGCTGTTATACGTATGTATTATGTACAGTATCTGCACTAAGATTCATACCGTACTCGCCTGCGGCAAAGTGCAGATCTCACCAAACTCCATCCCTCCGCAACGCACAAGTCAACTGCAGTGGCGGGAATATCTTTTTCCTTGTTGTTGAGCAAGCACAAGTCGAGAAAAAATAAGTTGAAAAGTAGCCTCATATGAAGTCACCTGTCGTCTAGGCACTGGATCAGTTGAGGTCCAATTTCACGGTAACTTTCCCGCTTGTGTCATTCATTGCCATTCGCAGAATCAAATCAAATCGCAACCTCAGTAACCCCAATCGCGCACTGTCTCATTCCCACCCCTCTCCGCGTGCAGCCGCCCCCTCCCCCGTAACCAATCCCGCACGGAAGAACAGGGAAGAAGACGGAGCGGAGTCAAACTCCTGCAAGACCCCTTGCCCCACCCCTTGCCCCACCCCTTACTCCACCCCTCCGCCCCGCTCCCCACGACCCTCGGCAAGAACGCCCAGTCCCCCACAAACCCCCGCACCCAAGCTGGCTGAGTACTTTTGCCTCCTTTGCTGCTTCCCCATCCCGATCCCGTTCTTCTGGAA